GCCTTTGCTTCCATACTAGATGATTATGCATGATCTGAAAACTCTGGAAATGTGAGAGTGCAGTAAAGAGGTTCTTAAAGGACCATCACAGAGGCAAACACTTTGAGGTGAGGAACTGGTGGGTCACTTAGGTAGATGTTGGTATTCGTAGCGGAAAGCGGAAATACATGACCAGAGGAACATATATCATATAACATAAGCTGACACGCTGAATGATGCATTCAAGAAAAACTGGAACACAGATCAGGAGCAAGTACAGGAAGCACTTCGCTGAGTAAAAAGATATGTTTTTAAATTCTGCCTAAAACGGGAGATGAAGGATGTTCTGTGGTAACGAGTTGCAAAGTTTTGGAGCTAAAAAATCAAAAGCCCTGCCATCCACAGAAGACAAGCAAAGGCGAGACAGCATTAGGAGAGCAGTAGCTGCAGACCTGAGGGAATGGGCAGGTGTATAAAGGAGGAGGAGCTCTGCGGTGTCCTGGGGAGCAAGACCATGTACGGCCTAAAAGTCACCAGAAAGAGTTTGTACTGTATATGTCATGGATATTCCCTTAGAGCCAAATGTCACAAGGTTGCAGACATATTTAGTAGAATTAACCAGAATACCATTAATGTAAAATTATATATCATTTGTTACTTTAACTGTGTCAGCATATAGTTTTAGGATGCTAAATTTCATCCATAACAAAGGCAGTGTGGCTTTACTGCCAAATTTGTTTGGCGATGACGGGCAAACAGCTTTGAGAATCAAAAATCCCTCTGATACCTCTTGTGAGGCTTGGTATGAAGACCATCTCTGACAAATTTGGAGAAGACTGGACAAAATGTGTGGCCTGTGGAAAATTCTTGCATTTTCCAAAAGGGTCTAGCTGCAGATGCCTGTAGAGTGGAGCTCCACCGGAAATATGATGATGATGATGATGATGATGATGATGATGATGATGAAAACCCTTTATTGCTGTTGCAATATACCATGTCACTAGTCACAAGTACCAGCGAAAAAACTGGCCATCAACCTGACCATACATATACAAACATCACATTATAGGG